TTTTTCAATTTTAAGCTTTTAGTTTCATTTGTTTATGTAGCCATTAATTTAGCATTAACTTAAAAAAATTATTAAATTCTCTTCACAACTATGGTAGAACCCCCCTAACTCTAACCCGGTTAACCCAAATCCCCTCCCCATCCCCCCACCACAGTTGCGAAATGAAATATAGTTGCCCACTTTACATTGTTACGAATACTAGTGCTGTTTCGGTTTCGCGCGAGAATTCATATCAACGAATGTTCAACGTTCGATCGTTGAGTTTTACTATTTTTTATTCTGCTTGTTACCATTAGGCGAAAAAGTTTTAATAATTATAGGCGGTGACGACAACTATGTGGGGAGAGAAGAGGAAAACGAAGCCGTCATGTCACGTTGGGCTCGGAGGAAAGTTTCGTCACAATTCGAGGAGGAATATCTTGACGGACGAAAAAGTTTCATTTTTTCTTGGCACAAAAACCACCGAGAGATTCACGAGAAAGCTCTTCTACACTTTTTTGAACCAAGTAAGATGAGTGAAAAGTTTGATTATCATGAGCCAGAAATGAGTCTATCAGCCGACACTTCTAACGCAACAGCTGAGGAAAATATCCAAGGGCTGAATCCTCAACCAGAGATCACACAATCGACGCCGTCCAACGTTCCAGAGAATATTTCAGTGTATCCAACGGATGAGGTGAGTGTTTAACTGAAATTCTGTTCTTTTACACATTATACTCGGCATTCTTGGTGAATCGACGCATTTGAATCAACACTGCGTTTGTGGTGACGTAGCTTATCAATTATGCTTCATTATTGTTGCTGATGCTCTCTTCTGTTGATGATGGCTAAGTTATTTGTGAATGGCTCTTCTACAAACCTATTGCGGCTTTTTTCTATTTGAAGAATACAGTTGACGTTATTCCTGGTTAAACTTTTTACAAAAGTATTCTGTTGCTATGCAGCGAAATTGTGAGAAATATCTTATTTATCCCATTAATAGGAAAAAAAGCGTTGTGAGGGGGAGGGGGGTGGGGGCATGGAATTAGTGAGACAAGCCTCCGTGAAGAATTTGGTCAAACCGTATGCCACATTAGCTAGGTTGTGGGGTTAATCTATTTCCAGGCATAATTCTATGACGAAAAATAAATTAGCTGGAGTTGTATGTGCTTACAATCTCTAGCAAATTTTGGTTCAAAATCCCAACCAGACTATCCCCTGAACTGCTTGCGTAAATTGGCGATCCAGGGGTCCTTAATGCAACCGAAAATAAAACGATTCATAGAGAGAGAGCTGCCATAAAACATTTATTTCATGTTTACCAATAGAGATACTGAATCATTTTTGATAAAATCAGTTTACATATTATCTATGGGTGCATGTTACACAACTCAAGGAAATGGTATTCGTTGCAAAACGGGAAAGAAACGTTGTAAGGTTGCAACGTTTTAATTGAATATATGACTTTGAAAATATAGGTCGAGTATGTAAATGAATTTGAAGCATCTTACAAAAAGAACAAGGAGGAAGTAATAGTTGTTGTGGGTCCTCGTGATAAGATTCCGTCAGGTAAGGCTACATTTAATTAATATTTAAGTTATTTTAAAATACTTTGGTTAGTGATCGGATGTAGAGATCCTAGTAATCAATTCTCTTTACGTCGTCGAACGCTTCCCTATTACGTATGGCGAGATAAATTCAATATCATTTTGACCCAATCATTTTTTCAAGCATAGAATGTTCGAAACAAATAATTTCATTCCCTTATCCAAGACAACTCATTCCCTGACTCATCGTGGATACCTCATGAGATGGTGTAGCTTTAAGGCACAGAGATGAGAAGGAAGGATCCCAATGACACTGTGACCCCCCTCTTTTTCAAAACGTGTAATTACTTAAAACAATATTTAATCCTAGAAGGCTCCGAAATGGAGATAAGGCGTCAGAGTCAGCTTCCCCTTCACTTTACTTGAATACTAGACCTACTCGTGCTCCTAAGGCTACAGAATTACATGCAAGAGAATTTCGTACGGATGTTCAGTCCGTAGAGCGTGTTCGTCCCGTGTTTACATTGTCTGATCTACTATATCATCCCAATTTTGTCGTGTGTTCTTTTTCTTTCTCTACCAGGGTTGTCCCTGAATTATCCAGAAGGTTCAGTGCTTCTAGATACTCGGCTTCGCCATGGGGAAGTCTCAGACGACACGAGAGATGTGGTGCATAGAGAGGACGGATGGCAAGTACCGGAAGGCTACAGGGACCATCTAAGAAGTATGCACGCGGCAGAAACCAACCTTAGAGTAAAGTTTGTAGTTCGCCAAAACCAACTAACCACAATTATAATCCGAAACTGGTTTGGACCGCTTTTGGGGGGATGTTGCACAATACTCTGAGCCTTAACAAAGGCTAAATTTTTCAACAAATTTTCGTTAGCAACCCAGAAGTAATCTATATACATATATTCTTTTTTCGGGCAGAAGGTTGACCACTCGTCAAAAAATAGATAATCTTTAACTGCGTTTTTGATGCATGGCAAAGTTTACTTTAGTACTGAGTTTGAAAGCTTGTGGAAATTGAAATCATTTTAATGACATTATTGATATAATACTATCATTAATTTCGAGTAAGGCCGTGAGAAAAGCTTGCAACGGTTGGAAAAAGGTGATTTGGCTTCCGTGATGCCTTGCATCAATGGCTGTACCAAAAATGTCCTCAAAAACCTATGTTTGATGTTCAATTTACTACACCAAAAAAGTCACTCTTTCCTAGAGATCTAGCGACTGCCCACCACTTTTATTTCATTCACATTGTAAGTTAATTAATAGCTTTTAATGCGAATGGTTCTGACAATCATTGAATGTCATCCCACGACCATTCTTTGAAATCTATTGTGTCATATTTGATTTTCAAAGTGTTTTAAACTCTCTTTAAAAGACGATTAAACATATTAATGGGTTTTATAGATTCACATAGTCATTTTAAGATCTCGAACGTAATCTGTTTCAACTCACCCGAATGTTCTAGCTCACGGAGGTTGCAATGCTCTGTAATTATGACTAGCAAACAGGGAACTTTGCATAATTCACTTTATTTCATTTACAGCAAACATATCTAAAATAATAATCACACCTTTTTCGATGGTTTAACCCGGACATTGCGCAAATTGACTGGTACTTTTTCCGAGAAATGTACGTAAGGTCGAGGAAAATACGAGCGAAGAGAAAAATGTTCGCTCGTTTCATAAGGTAACCCATCGAATTGGGAAGTTATCATTTCGCTTTTGTTTAGTTTTCTAGTATTTTGGCTTCTAAGTTCGTATTATCAAGCTTAAAGAACCTAAGATAGTAAGAATTTGAATCATAAGGTGCGGCAATTTATTGATCCGCTTTGCTTTTGCTTTCCGTCCGTGTTTTGTACTGTTCTGCAGAGTTATGTACATAACCTTGTTCTATTCTACCATACAAAATCTCAAGTTGAAATGTCCGCATGTTGCGTGACACGTGAATTTAAAGACTGTTTACGTTCTATGATTTACTAATAAGAGAAAAGGCCTCCATAATATTCACTTTGTTTAAGTATGATGAAGAGGTTGTGTTGATCTGTCCATTAAATAATCAAACAAGTGGCTGCTCTATCAGTTTGTACGGTGGTTCGTAATTTGCCTTCCGTGTTGGAATAGATGCTTAGCACTCCGTTTGCTGTCGTTGAATATTTGCACCTCAAACTTTCCTCTATATGTTTGGGAATTACAAAACCAGGAGAACGAGACACAAGATCCTCGGTAGCATACGATATTATCCCTTGACGGATTCGTGTTTTGAGCACGAGAACATCGCTGGAATCCGTGCATTCTCCTCCATAAGATGTAGGATTATGACGCACTTCTTGTGATGGAAACTCCCCCATGTGCTTTGGTGTCTCTTGAAGCAGTCTCCTGTCAGATGTAAAACCTGAAGCAGCATTGGTTGGTCTGAGGGATTCTTCTGAGTGGCTCAGCTGTCCTTGTCTGTTCTTCGCCGCTATTGGGGCTCCAAGCATTAATTGTATCAAGACATCGGGTTCCACATTCAGTTTTCCATCCTCCAACCAAACGACAAGGCCCTTTCTTTTCGCTTTAAGCATTCGCTCAACGTTTTTTACAAATTTATCTTCCTCTCCAGTTGGAGCAGGACTTCGATTGCAAATCGTGAAGATAACCTTTTCAACTGCAAATTGAAACAAATAGTTATATTTTATTACCATCTTCTTGTTAATTGCCCGAAGAAATAGTATTTAAGACTAGGTGTAGTACATGACCAATGTGCGGATGCCGTGATTTGTAAGTTATTTTCGTTTTCGTTTCAGATATGGCCACAAATTTTATTAAAAGACAAAATTGGCATCTAGTAAGAATTTTCATTATGAATGATTTTTGACTTATTTGAACGTGAAAATAAATGCTAATATATTAGCATAAGCTATTCAGTAAACATGTAATAAGCCAGTTGATCATTTCTTATTCCTTTTGGCGGTCTCACCTTACAGTAGAGTTTGGTCACCTTTTCCTTATTATGATCGTGAATTTGACATGGAGACAGATGTTTTTGCGTTAATTGCGGTTTGCGGCCAGATATCAGTATATTTCCATTATGTTGTTTAAAGATGATTAATTACTAAGAAAATGACTCCACCTTATCTGCTATTGAAAAGTTATTTTTAAATATTGTAGCTCACTATGATCCCTGCTTTAAAATTTGTTAGAAGTTATTTTCACTCGTAGCTCAGTTGACTATTTCTTTTATTCTCTCTTTTATTACGCAAGTTATTGCAACGGATACTAGCTCTGATCTCCCTCGGAAAGTGTGGGTCACCGCTTATAAAGGTGACCCCATAAAAATTGATCCCGTGCAGGAATTTCCTGGAAACAACCCTCCTTTATACCTTTACCTCTTTAATACTCTCGTTTTTAGGCTAAATCCATGTCGAATTCCCGATTCGGAAAATAGTGTTTAAACTTGAATTTAGCACGTTCGACAACTCTTTTTCTTAGAGGTGACTTAAGGTGTAAACATACAGTGCTTTTCATCTTCCGCGCTGAATTTGTAATCAGATAACTTATACGGCTAGCACGTAGCTCTTTTAGGGGCGGTACCTTAGGTACGCCCTTTCTTCTCCGAATTTTTCTGTTTATTCTGCCGATATGTAGCAGTCTTCAAGGGCTATTTTCTCTTAAGATATCTCTTCAAGTATCATTTCAATTCTGTTCGTAAGTTTATTATAATTTTTATATTTTCAATCTTGTTTTTGTTTCGCTCGACCTTGACCGTAAGACTAAGAAACTTTAGGTAGAAAGTCATTTTGTGAAGCGTAAACATCGCCAAGGTATCTACTTAGTATGCGAACTCCGCTCTGCGTAGTTTAGCGTGATTCGCTAGTTAAGTGTAAAAGCATGACGAAAGTTAGAGACTGACAACTCACTAAGCGTGTCTATTGGCCTTTTTTAATTATTGGATGATGTTCTCAAGTAGTTTATTTCATCTACACATTTGCTATTGTGAGTATTTACTATTACGAGTATTTGCTACACAAAAATATTTCAACTACAAAGAAATGATTCTCTGAACTTTTATAAACAGGCTACCGCAACAGATCCTCTTACCAACAACATCAGCTGCTGTCCTGAGAATTTCTTCCAACTCAGGCTGCTGGTATTTATGAGACGTATCTGTATCCACCACTAGAATACAAAACCTAGGAGTGCATCTCGTTAAGTATGATTTGATGTCAGCTAATGAATAACGTTCCACTTGGGGACATTCTGGCAGCCTTATCCTACGATAAAGGTCATCGAGTACTGATTTCACAGCCTGGATTGTTGCCGGTGACACATCACAGCCGAGGACTACTAAGTCTAGAGAATAAAAGCAAACAGTAATTAAAACTTCGTTTTGCACAACCCAAAACCATTTTACAACACTTATTTTTAAAAGATCAATCAGTTCTAGTCAAATAAATGCTAAACTTGAAATACTTGAAAAAAAGCCTCAATTCCGCGTTTGCATTTCCACTTGTCTAATTATGTTAACTTGAACGTTAAATTAGTACATGCCTATAAGCTTCACTTCGTTGTTCGCACTTCCAGCACTTAAATAAATGCTAAACTTTCAAATACTTGCCTAAATGCTTCATTTCATTGTTCGCACTCCCACCACAAAGTGCGTTGTTTGGGTTTCTGGCACTTGCTGTAACCATGCATGTACGACTCAAAGGAACCTAGTATCATTTTATATGTAAAAATATATGAAGTTCACAAAAAAAGCTGCTATCGAGTCAGGATTAAAAATTGATTGATAAGGTTAAAAATCGTGATATAAAGACTACGAGACACCAATGAAACAGCGTCTTTAGGACTTATTGTTGCTTTTGTTGAAGTCGTTGTAAAGGTACATATTGCTCTCGTAGTGGTCGTTCATTGGTGTCCAGTGTTGTCTTTTTTCAGAGAGTCCCGTTGTCCTTACCTTGTACCTCACGTTCCCCTTATATAGCGGTATCTCTTCGTACTGAGAGCTGTTGCGGTTTGTTGTATAATAGTGCCAATTCAGAATATGCAGCCACATCTTTTTGTGTTTGACGTTATTTTTAGGGTCAAGAATTAAAAGGAGAAAAGGTTGTAAACCTCTAGAAGGTATCTAAGAAATTGCCACCACTATCTTACAAAGCTTTACTGATGTTCATGTCATAATGGATTTAAATAGTTCAAATTATTTTCGCAATCTTTTCTGGTTTTTCTTGAGCATGGTTTTAGATGCCATTGCTGACATCGCCATCGGTTATTTTTGGCTCAGGTGGAATTTCCTCTGTTGTGGTTAATATTGTCAATGTCTCGTGGTGCTAGCGTTGTTATTGTAATTGTTGTTTCTTTTGACAGCTTCGTTTTTGTTATCTTTGTTCTGGTATTAATACTTATTTTTGTGGCTATTGTAACTGTCTTGATCATGATTCTCGTCCATGTTTTTTTAAATGTAATCTGTCGTAGTAGTTCTCACCTTTGACCAGACGTGTTTCCTTCGTGGTAGTATCCCTTTGCACTCTGCTCTGTTCAGATCGGTCCCCTAGTGATGAGCATCCATAGTCCGAAGCTGAAACAGCGGTTGCTGCAAGAGGATCGAGGTGTACGTTCAGCTTAGGTTGCTGACTAGCGTGAAAATCCACACTTCTTTGCCTTGTCACTGTGTAATCTTTTTGCAAGAAACTTGGCTGATCCCACCGGTCTTTTATTTCTTGTCTACTTCTCCCTTCGGGAAGGGTGGCGGAGCGTTGAAGCTTGAGCTGGTGCGCTGGTTCTGTATCTCGTGCTGGCGGAGCTATTTGATCTCTTAAAGAAAGCTCGGAATGCCCTGGTGGCTCATACTCAAACTTTTGTCCTTTCTTGCTTTGATCAAAGAAGTGTTTCAATGCTTGCTCGTGAATTTCTCTGTGTTTCCTGTTCCATGAAAAGATGAAACTTCTTCGTCCGTCGAGGAATTCCTCCTTTAATTGGGAACGTACCTTCATTCTTGCCCAACGCGAGACTACGGCTCTTTCCTCTTCCTCTTCGTTCCTGTAATTGTCATCCCCACCGATAACAATAATCACGTTTCCGTCTAATTGACAAGAAAACATTGAAAAAATCACATAATTATATTAAAATGGCCTTGTAATGAATTAAGTCTTGCTCGCTCGTCAGAAACGTGACTTTCGTGGTCACGCTACTGTTCCAATCCGGCCCTGTTGTTAAAATCTGCGTGTTCGGTAGCGGAATCATAAGTCAACGCGGTCAAATTAGAGAGAATGGTAAATTTATTAAGTGTTTAAAACTTAGAAATCGTAAATGGTGTGATATAGCGAAAACATGAGTTATGAATTTTGAAAAAAGTTGCATATGGATCACGAACCATTAGGTTAAGAAAGAGGTAGGAATCACAAATATCGAAAGTAAGGTCAAATGATTCTGCATTTGTTGCACAACTTTCATAATATCTGACACGGCAAAACTTTTATTTGTATCATTTGTTGGTCAATATTTTAATCGCTAGAACTTACTTACGGCAACCTGCGAACACAGCCGTCACAGCTTCCTCCAATTTTTTTAACCAAAGTTTTCAAAATATTTAATTGAAATCTATATTTAGAATACTATTTGTATACCGCAGTGTTCGTATCATGAAACACAAGCGAATCCTGTCAAAGACATAGTGTGGCCAATATTGTCGTTAAAAAGCATGTGGGTAAAACAATTGAGGAAAGGTTGAAGATAACGCTATGTTCTGTTTGTCAATAACATAAATTTCGTAGCGTGGACCGTCTAAATTTCAAAACACTTAACATTGATATTCATTGACAAATCAATGTGCCACATTACAAAGGTGAAGAACGCAATGGTACCTGAAAAATATCTGGTATAAAAATTAAGGAAACCCTAGTGTGTGTATTTTACAGAAACTACGCCAATATGACTTGCAGAAGACTTTTTGAAAAAAGAATTCTAAGAATTAAACTCTTATCGTGCTCAACTTCCGGTTTCGCTTTACCTGTCGCTTGAAGCAAAGCTCTATAAACCTTCGTGTAGCCTCCCTCTGTGTTTTCGTTGATGGAGAGTCGAGATTCGTTTGCATTGACAACTAAAATGGCAGTATCCATCTCCAGTGTGGGAATCGTTTGATCGCTGAACTCAGTTATCTCGGAAACCGTGAAATAGTGTTGCTTCACAGATATCTCAATGCCAAGCTTCCTTGTCGTTGTCAACAACAAATCTTCGATGGAGTCGAGCTTATAAACACGGTCGCAGTTGAAGAGATGGAATTTACTAGGCGATGCCATGATATTTCTTTTGTCATGGAGATACTTTTGAAAACTGAGATGTCCCTTCACCTAAAGCTGAATTGAAATAATTTCAGGATGTCATTGAAGCGCGTATGAAAATTGTTAATGGCGGTCAGTAATATATTCGGAAATAACATTCCATACCTTCCAAATGAAACAAATTATTCCTTTTGCAGTGATCACTCAGAGCCTGTAACAATAACGATCATGGAAGAAGTTGTCACGATATACGAAGACGATTTCTAGGAAAAATAGGAACTCGGGCAGCAAATGCATGATGGGTAAAGCTGTGTGGCTGTCAGGAGAATTCGTGACGAAGGGTATGTAACGCAACGCATATGAGAATTTGAAAATAATTTCAAGTAAATTCTTCCCTTGGCCCAGTGCGAAGTGCCGACTCGTTTTCTTCGCTTTCACCCTCCAATCACGACGATAGCTTTCTCTCCTGGTGCAGATACGAATTAATTATTAGTTCAACGAGAGACAATAACCCAACGAAATTTTTTGCAAGAATTTTCCGTATTCTGCATGTTGCATATGCACCAATTTAGCGGCCAATCTTAAACCGTATACTCAATGAAAAGCACTCTTAAATTCTACTTTTCTGTCCCAATTTACCCTACGATAGAACCATACTTATGAATAGACCTAAACCCCATTAAAAGAATCAAAGTTAGATCTAAATTCTAGGAAACAGTACCATTTGTCTCATTCTTCGTTTCAAGAGCATTCGTGATATTTACTTCTGCCTCAATTGAGGGCGGAAAAAAAAAACTGTGCTTCAGGGATCCGAGCTCGACTTTTTTCGAAGTCGTCACTTAAAGAAGTAAAATCATTTAAAAAAGGTCGCCAAAGAGAAGTTGGTCGCTTGGAATAAAAAAAGTTAACAAATTCTCGGAAACAGTTGATATAGTTTCCGCTTTCACCGTCCGTTCGCTCTGTTAGAAATATAAAACGCGTAGTTATCAAACATTCGATACATGTACTTAAACACAAGTTATATTCATGTAAATGTTTTTTTTATTTTCCAGTAGAGATTAACGCAGATACTATCGACTTTTCAATTAAACTCGAACAATAAGCTAGGTGCCTCCGGCAAAGCTCTGTATATCTTTGTGTATCAAGGTTCCAAGTTACTGTGGTTAATAAAGAGACCAGATTCGGGTGCATTTACAACAAACATTGCAAACTTAACAAGTTTTCCTCTATTGAAATCCCCTATCTGAGATAAACTTGAATCAGATGATGATAAACTTACTCGTTTTCCGTTTTACAGGTTCGACGACGATAGCCTCTGCCTCGGCAAACTGAGGAAAGGAGCAACTTGCGCGATAAAACTGCCCAATAACTACTGGGCGAAAATCATCGTGCCCCGTGGTAAAGCTGATTCTTTCGATTTTGCCATCAAAAGTTAGCTTTTCGGTTACTAAGAGAATTTCTCTCTACGGCAACAAAACTTCAGAGCACTGACCACGGCATCAGTGGAACATTCTCTACACTTGGTGCGAAGGAATGATAAGTTGTGGCAACAGAAACGAACACAGCTTCCCATTGTAAAGATGGATTTTGCCACTGAAACAAGACACAGATGCAACGAATGAACCATTCGGTAACGGCATATTTTTGCTCTAATCTTGACCTAAACACCGCAGGCGAGCAACCGTCTTTGTCGGTCTTTGTCGAAATCTTCGCTTGATACACGCGGTTCTCCTTCGTAGGGCTCAACCGTAATCGCAACTTCTATTTCTTTTTTATTACTAGAGTACGATGTATCACAACTCTCGATAGAGACTACTGAAGGAAGGTATACATCGCTAATCGGACATTATTTCTAGAGTATTTCAACGCTAACTAATACAAAATTATAAGAGAAGTGTGAGATTTTGCAAGTGTCAATCGAAAGTTTTCACAGTCTACGGAACCACTAAACCCAAAATGAGAGTACTTTTAGACCAGAAAATAAAACGAGTTGTAATTTTTTTAATGTTTCCTCTCTGGATTGTACACACGATGAGCGGAACAAGTATGCAAAAGTATTTGGTACCAAAGGCACTCCAACTAGCTCCGACTTACAAACAGAAAGTGTATTTTCTCCAATTCTAAAGGTTATGAAAGGAACGGGACAACAAATCAAACTCGTTTTTCACAGATTCTCTTACTCTCCTAAAAGCACTCTCCCTTTTTACTATAAGTCGAACATTCTTTGCGGCTCCTGAAATGATGTACAGGTCAGCACTATCTTTTTCTGTGAAACCAGAGATAATGTCTTGAGGAATATGAACATTTGCAAATTTAAACTGTACATCAACGTCTTCAAAAGACGCCTTTCCGTGGCGGATACGAGTTTTCATTAAGAGAAACTCATCTTTAGCGAGCTTTATATCTTCATTCAGGAAAAACTTTTTAAAATTTTGATAATTATGACACTCAAGTGTGCCATCACTATACCTAATAATTCTTACTCCAGTCTCAGGGGTATGACAGTGTTTAGTAAGCAACTTATCTTGAATGTCATCTGGAATTTTAAATTCAGGGTCCCAAACTTGAAGTTCACCTAACTGATTAGATATCCTTCCATAACGAGCGATACCTCTCAGCACAATTACGGGAGGAGGGTTTCCGGGGAGTTGTGTTGCCAGTACAGGCTGCGGGGTATTTTGGGAACTCTCGTCATGACAGCTTTTTAATTCTAAGTATTCAGTTTGTAAATGATCTGTGGTAATGTTGTGTAGATAATTGGAAGGCAAGTCAGCGTTAATATCCGGTTCTTGAGAGCCTCTTGGGCGGATCATATGTGTGTTTAGTGTGTAAGCACTGTTTCCCTGATTACTGAGAGAAGGTTCCATCCCCGTCGAGTCTCTGCTGCTACCCGCGACACTACTGACGCCACTAGGGTGTGAATCAGTCGGAGTTTCTTCTTTATCAGCTGTAAGTAAAGAGGTGTCTTTACCGTTATATGAGTAACTCTTGGATGTGTATGGATTTTCCAATTCTGTAGATGTTTCTTGCAATTGAAGTTCTGAGTTTAATTGTTGGTTTGGAGTAGGCGGCCGATATTCAAACTTTAGTCCTTTCTTGTTTGGATCAAAGTAATGCAGTAAAGCTTGTTCGTGAACATCTCGATGTTGTTTGTTCCAAGAGAAGATGAAGCTCTTTCTGCCATCAAGATACTCTATGCCGAACTGTGAAGAGACTTTCCTCTTCGCCCAACTTGAAATAACCTCTTGATTCTCTTCCTTGTCGTCTTTGTAGTTGTCATCTCCCCCGATAACGGTGATAACATCTCCTCCTGTAGATCGAGCAGATGAAAATATAATAAGTGTAGCATTATTATCTCTCAATAAAAACACAATTTTGGTGACCAGATATTAAATATGGAAGAATACCCTTGATTGACTAGCCGCGTATTGGTGCAACTGACCATTTTCAATCAACATGTCGACAAGAAATTACTAACCGCATGGAATGCGTATTACATGAAATGTTCGATTTGCGTTACGCAAGGGCCTTGCAGACCCTCCGGAATCGATTTTCGTACATTTTCTTGAACTCTTGAACATAAAGCTAAACATCACTTATTTACCAAAAGGAAGATAAAATTTAACATAAAGTCAAGAGGCACATTATGTTTTCCTGGAACAGTTATGACCAATTTAAGTCTCTTTCCGCGAATACATATAATTGATTTCAATTTACCCATCATCAAGTGTTTGTTCAAATGGATTTTATGTGTTTAAAAAAAGCATTTGACACCATTTTGGTTGTTATAGATAACTGCTGGTAAAGTATCATTTTTCAAAGGTAAACAGTTAACTGTTTCATCTAGTCACAAGCAAATTTTCTGAAGAAATATGCTTTGAAAGCTCAAAATATCCAAGGAGAACTCTTGCTGATTTGATTATGATGGTTGAATATTTTTTTTTCTCTTTGAATATCATTCACTCTTGTTAGGGAATAAATTCAATGTTACCTCAGCTTCAGCAAAATAATTCTTAGATACGCTTCTCGTTTCAATTCGTCACACACTTTCCTGACGGTTTGTGTCGGATCATTTGCATGTTCTCGCCGGGAGTCACGTTTAATAGAAATTTTCAATATACTTCAGGGATATACCCAACAGAGAGCTACCGTTGAACGCGATCAAACAGAAGCTATCAATCTATGATAATCTACTTTCGATTTCAACTCCAATGTCTAATGGGCTTTTGTTGTGGAACATATGTCGCTTTTTTACGAAAAATTTTACAAAGTTACCAGGGCCTTTCCTAACGAGAACTTTAGGTGCCAAACAAAGCGTTATGGAACAATATTAATTGTGTTTGAAACAAGGAAAGTTAATGTTAGTTTAAATCATACGTTTAATCCGGTAGCGACATGTAAGCTTATCTTTATCAGTAATTACTCAACTTGAACGTGTTGCATCCAGATAAAAAATGCAAATAAATTACAGTATTTCCGGACCGCGGAAGACGACTGGATTTAAACTTTAAGCTACTGAAATTTCAAAAAGTGAGGTCAACCCCTTTAAACAAAAAGCCTTCGCCGTAGAAAACAAAACGGAGACTTCGGACAGGAAACTCACTGCGAGTGATTAAGACTCTAACGCAGCGGTTTAAAACAAGTCTTCGCATTTCGCCACTTAGGGGAGTAACCGTCGACCTTAATCTATGCTTATTTACTTTCGCTTTCACCTCTGATGTCTAATGTGCTATTGTTTGGGAAATATAGAAAAGGTTTTCACTAAGTTGCCACTACCTTTCTCAAAGATAGCCCAGCTTGCCGAAAAATGAGCGATTAAGAGTAATGAAATGCGTTCGAAAAGATGACTTCAAGTAAAATACTTCCGCTTCTCACCCGTTGCTTGAAGTAAAGCTCTGTATATCTTGGCGTAGCCGATGCCAGCGTTGTCTTCGTTGATCGAGAGCCGAGATTCATGCGCATGAACCACGAAAAAGGCCATATCCATCTTTAAGGTTGGAATTGTGTCTACCATTTCAGACATTTTGGCAAGTCTGAACGAGTGCTTCTCTACACTCTCAACATGGATGCTGAATTGCATTTGATCAAGCAATTTCTCGACAGGCTCTAGCTTGTACGTATTATCACAGTTGAAAAGATGAACTCGCTTTTTCAATTGCGACATCTTCTATCGATGGCTTTTCTGTCGCTTTGAACGTAGCTGTTTTATGATCCTGGAAAATACGTCTGAATTTTCAAAATCGCTGAGAGAGAGGAAGACGACTGCTTGCGCAATGTTTCCGAGAAAGCCTGTCACTTTTCTTATCGATTGAGTCACGCAATCCCAACACAACATTGGAACACTAGAAACCTAAAAAATTTATTGTCCCACAGAAATACAGCTGCTTCCGGACCTTATAGCACAAAAAACTTTCGCTTTTAAGCCTACAAACAGTTCGTCTCGTAGCTATAAGCTTTCAATGCTACTCAGTGCGGTGAGATAATTACTGCAATCTTTTTATTTGTTATTAAGTAAAAGGCAAGGAAATCTTAGTGCCCCGTGCACGAGAAATGGTATCTGGTTTATATAATAATTCCATTCTTGAATCCTCGAGTAACAATTTACCACACCGCAAGTACTTAAAGAGGAAGTTAAAATAACGATGCAAGTCTACATAATAATGTGAACATAGCTAAATACCTTCATCATTGTACTTGTGCTAAATTACATCTGATAAAGATTGATTTCGATAAGCATTTCAAAAGGACAGTTCGCGAAAAATAAGTTGTATGACGTTACGATGAAATAATGTCATCATAATTGATATTAAGTTGTTCTTTATATATGCAAAACTCACAACAAGTAAGACAGATTGATTGCTGAAAGCCGCAGTTATTTCTTGAGGTATATAAGTTCTTGCAGTTGGAAGGCGCAGACTGACTTTTGCTCTGCCTTCAAAACAGACATTGATTTACTTGATCATTACCCAATGACTTAGTAACGGTGACTTAAACATGGAAGACCTAGATCTTCCAATGCTATTCTTATCACTTTTTTAAAATCAATTCCACTTTTTATTACACATCGAAAATTTTCCGAGCCATTTGAAATAATGTACAGATCACCATTAGCCTTTTTATCTTGAGCTTTGAAAACATCGATAATGTGTTGCGGAATACGCACGTTTCCATTCTTAAACTGTACAGCAACGTCTTCAAAAGACACCTCTCCGTTGCGAACACGAGTTTTCAATATGAGTTGTTCATCGTCAGCAAGCTGTATTTCCCCGTCCAACGAAAATTCTTTTAAATTTGGGTCAGTATAACACTCAATTTCGCCATCACTGTGCTTAATGACTATCACTCCAATCAAAGGTGTGTTGCGGAGTTTTTTGAGCAGCCTCTCTTGTATGTCATCGGGAACTTTAAATTCGGGGTCCCATATTTGAAGGTCGCCTATCTGATCAGGTACCTTTCCATAACGAGCGAAACCTCTCAGTAAAACAACGGGAGGAGATTTAACTGAGAATTGTGTCGCCCACACCAGCTGTTGGGTATTTTCAAAATGGATACTTTTTTCTTCTGGAAAATTCCTTTGTGAATAATCTAGATCTCCTTGTGCATCTCTCTGATTACTGAAAGAAGGATCCGACAACTCCCTGTCTCTGCTGCGCTCAGAGCTACAGTCGCCACCACGGTGTGAATCAGTCTGCCTTTCTTCAACCGTTGTCAATTCAGGAGTGGCTTCATCATTACGAGGAGGACTTTTGGGTTTCTGCGGATTTTTCAATTCGGGAGATTTTGCTTGAGATGGAAGTTCTGGTATTGATGGTTGGTTTGTAGATGGCGACTGATGATGGAACTTTTGTCCTTTCTTGTTTGGATCAAAGTGATGCAGCAGAGCTTCTTCGTGAATTGCTCGATGTTGTTTGTTCCAGGAAAAGATGAAGCTCTTTCTTCCATCAAGATACTCTATGCTGAATTGTGAGGAAACTTTTGTCTTCGCCCAACGTGAAATAAGCTCTCGATTCTCTTCGTCGTCGCTCTCGTAATTGACATCTCCTCCGATAACGATGACGACATCTCCTCCTGTAGACAAAGGAAATTCAAATGTAAAGAAGCGTAACAATATTATCCTGTGAAATGTAATTTCCAATATTTTGTTGCTGATTATTGGCCTTCCAGACCTCTTCGTCACTATTTAAATTTTCATCCTTTTTTTTGCAACCGTGGCATTAACGCTATTAATACATAACATATCTACCAGAGGGTAAGAAAAATGCAACATATAATGGAGAAAAAAACATTTTCTCTTTGTTCAAAAAAAGAATCTAATATTAGGTTCGCCCTCTGTTACGTAAACAATTTAAAAAAATAATCTTAGCTATTTCACTGTCCCTTAAAATCGAGCGATAAAATGGCAAGGGAGTTTCAGGTGGCTTAAGAGAGGCATTTTGAATCTATTGTCGGTTGAAATGATAACTGCTGACTAGAGGCTTGCTTTGTCAGAGTTGAATTCTTTCTCCAATCTATTTAAGTTTCTTGAAGATGCCCTGACAGCTTTGGAAGACTCAATTATTATTCAATGAATTGATCCTTGGAATAACATTTATCATTGCTGGCCAATAACTTTAATATTCCTTAAGCCATAATACATAAAAGTCCTTAAGCAACAATACATAAAGCATCAGAATTTTTAAGCATAGATCAATCTCTATTTCCAATACTGCTCGTTTTTCCCTGAAATTTAATGTTAGTTTAAATCTTTTGTTTAATCCGGCAGCAACATGTAAGTTTATCTTTATCAATAATTACTCAACTTGAACGAGTTGTATCCAGATAAAAAATGCAAATAATTTACCGTGTTTCCGGACCGAGGAAGAGGAATGGTTTTAGACTTTAGGCTAGTGAAATTTCAAAAGGCAAGATCAACCCCCTTTAGCCAAAAAGCCTTCGCCTTAAGAAACGAAACAGAAGCTTCAGACAGCAAACTCACTCCGAGTGTTTAAGACTAACGCAGCTGCATAAAACAAGTCTTCGCATTTTGTCACTAAGGGGAGCAACCGTCGACCTTAATCTATGCTTATTTACTTTCGCTTTCACGACTAATTAGCTATTGTTTAGGAGGTTTCATGTCTAATGAGCTATTGTTTAGGAAATATAGAAAAGGTTTGCACTAAGTTGACACTACCATTCTCAAAGATAGCCCAGCTTGCCCAAAATGCGTGACTAAGAGCAATGAAATGCGTTCGAAAAAATTACTGTGACTAAAATACTTCCGCTTCTTACCCGTCGCTTGTAGTAAAGCTCTGTATATCTTGGCGTAACCAATTCCAGCGTTGTCTTCGTTGATCGAGAGTCGAGATTCATTCGCATGAACCACGAAGAAGGCCATATCCATCTCTTGGGTTCGGATTTTGTCGACCATTTCAGACATTTGAGCAAGTCTAAATGAATGCTTCTCTACAGGCTCAACATGGATGCTTAATTTCTCCGACAATTTCTTCTTCGTTTCCTCGAGCAATTTCTCAACGGGCTCTAGCTCGTATGTGTTGTCACAGTTAAAAATATGAACTCGCTTTTTCGACTGCAACATCGTCTCTGTGTTGAACACAACTACTGGTGAAACTCTGGCAGATTTCATATGAATGTCCAAATTCGAAGTGAAGAATGGAACTGCGCAATATTTCCGAGAAAGCCTGTCACACAAATCCCCCCCAAAAAGTCACGCAACAATGCAGTCTCATAACGGGTCGTAACACATTACTTGTCGCAGATGATAATAAAAGACAGTCGAAAACTACATGAGGATGCTGGTAGTGATTGGAAGATTGAAGAATTATTAGGAGATCGTAAGCTTAAAAATACCATAAAAAGAAAAGGTATGCTACCAGTTCAGTAAGCATACACAACTTTATTGATGAACTCAACACATAACAAAATACAGGGCAATGTAAAATTTCATTCAAAAGTAAGTCAAAATTACACACCATGAAAAGTTCCCAGGTTTACTTAAATGTACCAGGTGAAACAGTGAAATAAGCTGTGGTACATTTAAAAAGTTTCACCCTTTTTTTTCATATATTTTTGTAGTAAAGTTTGTTTGACGCAAATTTTATGCTTTTGTAGTAATAACTTTTCAAAATTTGAAAGTGCGAATTAAATTGATAAAAAAATTTTGTAATGTAATGTAATGTAAGTACTTGGGGTGTCTGGAGGTCAGGGACCTCCCTTCCTTTCTCCTGGATCCGCCATTGATGAATAAAGGAACAATGTAATGTGGGCTAAGTAACACAAATGGCTAGGTACTTGTTTAGTTTTCAATAAGTTCACTTGTTTGTCTGGCTCACTGCAGTGGCGGATCTAGGGGAGGGGCCCGGAGGGCCCCCCCCCCCACTCCCCTTATTGGCGAAAATTTTGAGGCCTGAAGGCAGGAAAATTTTTTTAATGCCCCACTTTAACTTTAAGGCCTGGAGGGAGGGAAAATTCTTCAGGCCCCCAGCTTAGAATGAGGTCAGGATCTGCCACTGCACTGTATATGTTTATCTCTTAGTTGCAATATAATACTCTTTAAGCAGTTTAATGGGATATCAGATAATGATATCTGACAGTCTGTTGTTTTGACGAAGCTGCTTATAGGAAGATTAAAGAAAGTCAATTTGGGAATGTTTTTATGCTGCATTGATTGCATGATCACCTGAACATATAACTAGTTTTGCAAACGCTTGAACGGGTGGTTATGATGCATTTGCTACAAATTACAGTTTTGCAATGGGTTGTAATTTACTGATGATCATAGATTTACTGTAAAAGTAAATATTATTGTAGAGGCAAGAACTGTGAAATTACTTGGGTTGTTTTGTCTGCTATAATTTTTCTATCACCTGCTTGCAACACGATCTTCTTTAAATCTTGTAGTGAGATGTCAGATAATGATGTTTGACAGTCTGTTGATTTAAGAAAACTACTTATAGCATCGTCAAAGCAAGTAAACTTGAGAATCTTTTTGTCATGCCTGGTTTGAGTGACAAGTTGACCAAATAATTTTGTATTGCACACACTTGAAAGAGTAGTTATGTTGCAATTGATACATGTTACAGTTTCTTCTCCTAGCTGTGTCTCAGTAATTCTCACGTTTCACACTAAGCAACTCGCACATCATTTGATATGGACACCGATGCAGCGGCCTTCTATTGAGTCGTCTGTTATTTCTGGGCTAATCAAATCGATGCAGGGTAGATCATCAATTTCTTTAAGGTCAGTGGCTTCAGTAGTATTTAAATACTTGAAATCATCAAAAAACGCAACTTTTAATGTTTGAAATGTTATGTTTTCCCTGCATGAACTTTGTCAATTTGGTTTCCCACAAGGCCAGTTTTACTGAGTTAGTTTCATCAGCTATAAGACAATAAGTTTTACATTTGGCTTTCTCACATCCTTTATGAGAACCTGTTTATTCTCCTGCTTTTTGAGGACCTTGGCCTTGATATCTAAAGTTTCATACAAATCTTTTCCAAGTGCTTCAGTATGGTGCATAACTGGTTGCTGAAGGCTTCAATAAAAGAATATGAGAGAGAAGTTGGACTGTCATTTTTGCATACTTTGGAATAGTATATTCTTCTTGTTGTGTGCGGAACCTTTTTGATGGTGTAGGTTTTACTCCACTGATCTTTACTGGTAACTTATTTAGGTATGCTTGGTTTGTTCGCTTTTGAGGTGAATAAGACAGTACGTACTACTTCTTCTAGATCTTTTCCTGTTTGAATGCAACAATTTAAGTAGTTGGTTGTGAAATTTCTTGCTGTTTATACCTCTGTTAACAAGTGCACATATCCCTCAATAGCTTCCTCTAAGAAAAAAATTTGGAAAACAAGTAGTAATTTTCTGCTCATTGAGTTTTGTAGAAGATCTTGTATTGACACTGATCTATTCAGGAACCACTTCTTATTAGGTACCAGTTAACAAATTCCTGAAATAATTGACATAGTGCTACTGTAAATAAAAGTGATATAAAATGGCCAGTTCTATATTAATAAGCGTCGACAACCACTATTTAGCTGTCCTGATGAGCATTGCTCTATTGTTTTTACTCCTCTTTAGCAGCCAGCAAGATTGTAATTTGAAAAGTTTGGCTTTCATTTTTTTTTCTTAACAAACTTAGATAAGAGCCTAAAATTAGAAGTGATGAGTGATAAAATAATTCAAAAAAAAGTTTTTTTAAATAACCTGACCTTTCTAAATGGGTTATTTTATTTTTCTTTCTGAAAAATTCCTTTTGAGGAGGGCCAAAAGGGTTATTAGCCGCTGGCACAAGCAGTGATTGCAGTTGTTGTGTAGATGAGAATGTGTGTACAGTCATGTGAACTGGAAATAAAATATTCAAAAAACAATTTTCCTTCTGTCTGAAATCTGTTTGATGGCATATATATGGATTTTTCAATAATTTCTGTGTATGCAATCAATTGCATTAGTTTTCAATGTTTGATGATTTTGGCATATCATTGAAGGAGGAAAGGTCTTTTGAGCCTCCTTGCACCAGGTATATCTCCTTGAGCTGTCAACATCTGTTACATGGACACTTGTAATTTCTTTTATGTATATGTGCATGTTGTACTGTGCAGGTTTATTTGTTTTTACCTGACTCTACTTTTGCTAGTCTTTGTTGTTGTTGAGGAACCTTTACTCAAAAAAAGAAAAATAACAGATAATTAAACTTTGAGTGCAGTTGAATGTACTTGTAATTGATAGTGATATAATTAGCTGTAATGGCAATATGTATTTAAAGATTGATAGGGTCTTACTTGGATACAAAAACTTACCTTGAGTTTGATGTCATGTTTTGAAATGTCAATTAATTACTCCAAAATAAAAGTAACACAATTGAGAAATTTTTTTATATTTGCACTAAAATGCAGTACTCTGTAATGCAAATGATTTTCTTTATGTATGTGCAATATTTATGACCACGCACATCTTTTGTGTTAGTTAAACACAAAAATTACTTGGAGGTAAGCTCATGGTAAAAAAAATAAAGTTATGCTCACTTATGTTCATATGGGTGGTGTACCAATGTATCGAGACAATAGATAAATAGAATGCAATGCATGTAGGAGCGATGACGTTACAAAATAGTGTTTCAAGGTTTCAGTTAAATATACTGTAGTCTCATGTATTTGCCACTGTTGTTCAGCAATAATGTTTTATTCATTAACTGATTATAAGGAGCCCTGTTGGCTTGGATTTTATTTTATTTGAATTTTTAGATTTCCTGGTATATATATTGTGGCTAACAAACATTACAAAATATTGTCATATGAGACAAGATACAAGGTTATCTTTTTATTCTACAAGTAAAATTGTACAACAGACCTACAAAGTAGAAAACAATTTTGTAAACTTTACAGCTGTTCTTATGGGAGGGTGACTTGCACTTTTCATTTGCATATAAAGAAGGACTTGTATTTTGCACCAAAAATAAAAAGAAGTAATGTTTTTTAGGAGGTCCAGTGATTGGGAAATTTAAGAAATTAAGTTATGAAAGGAAACTCGGTTTGTACTTCTCACTATTAACAAGTCTTGTTAAAAAATATTTTCAGATCAGAGTTTCAAATAAAGCAAATTGAAAAAGTCATTTAAAAGGTGTTTTTTCTCAAAGGGAACATTGACCACCTCTGTGTGCGGATGATCCATAAATATTGGAACTCTTACAAAAATGTTTTGCAAGAATAAAAACAGCAAAACAAATAGCAGCAATCAGTCACGAAAAAAAAACAGTAACAACAATTATGAAAAAAGAAAGATTAATTTGGTGTTGAATTTGTTTGTCTAAGGCATTAAATTTCTAATAAAAATAATCTGAAAAAAATGTCTGTGACACTGTGTTTGAGGCAACTGAACTTAACTTTTCCAGGGTTCTCTAACACAGGCAACCAGTAATTTAGATTAGGGAAGTAACCTATATTCACATCGAACAAAGTTCTTTAAGTGTAGATAATCAATGTAATTATTGTTACACATGTGGAAGTTGTGTACCAAGGAACAGCTGATGAATGTTTGATGATTTTGATACGTCTGTGAACATGAGACGTTTTGCATCACAATAAAAACTATTATGATCATGGAATTCAAGAGTGCTTTGAGGTGAGAAAGCAAATCTGTGATACGAGTAAATTGGATTAATTGGCAATTTGCATCGAAAACTTGGTTGGAATACTAAATTTCATGATCTTTAAGTTATAAACATATACATGTATGAATATCTCTCAGTAAATTTTGTATAGCATACCCTTTATTAAGCCAAAGTTTTATATAAGCCTCTAAAATTACTCCTTGTCCTAAAACCCTCACATTCAAGGTAGTGAGAATTTCTTGGAATTTATTTGGACTTCAGGGTATTTAAATCGCCTCAAATTCAATTCCCAGAAATTCCCAAGAATTGCACCCTTCTTAGGTAGTTTGTAGCTGAGAATTCCTAGGAATTCCAAGTTCTCACAAAACTGGAGTCTTCCTTTCCCAGAAATTCCCAGTAATTCTAAGCTTTTAAAATCAGAGCTCATTTGCATACTTGGGAATTTTTTAGAATTCTTAGGAATTCCTAGGAATACCCAGAAAACTGGGAATTCAGTTCGCAAGGGCAGGTTAACAGTGTCAAGTTCTAGTCTGC